TTAAACTCATTTTCTTCAATTGAAGCCATTGAAGTATGCCATTATATTCACTCAGAACAACGCTCCATAGTAATAAAAACATGATTATATGATCAAGCTGCAACACTTGTTTACATTTTTAAATGTCAATATTACAACATAACATATAACATCGTATTTGCCTTTTATATTTGAGAAAATCCAACATCTTTATTCATTTTTCAGTTAAAAAGTCTACCAAAAGATGAAGTTATTTTTAAGCCCAACACTGGGTTATATTTTTATGCTAAATTATAAGTGCTAATCAAAAGTGAGATTATTTTAGACGAACATAATACTAAAACATCTGCTGTACAGTTTCACTGCATGTGCACATACTGAAAACCAGTTCAAATGTAGTCTTTCCAACTTCTTTGGACTTCAACCTTTCACAAAGACTGTCCAAAATCTTTAATAAACTCAAAACTAACATAATCGTTAAATATTAAGGGTTACACATATGGGGAAAGTGTACAGTGAGGCGTTATCACAACCTCGTGGATCCGTCAAATGAGCTCGTGTTTCAAATAAATCTCACAAACCCTGCTTTTACAAAAGTCACAAAAACCATCAACAGGCTGCAGATTCATTTCACAATCAAAGTAAAACATTCTCGTCATCTTCCTGGCACCCTGATTTCAGAAACGTTTCATTAATATCATATATATTTATACAGGTGAATCTCTTAACAACATCTCCCAAACGTAGTTACCCCATTTATATGAATGCCAAATCCAAATCTACTTGCACTGAAGGTCAGAAATAAAAGCTCATTTTGTACTATCACAATTTTATTTTCTTCCTTAATTGACCCTAAAGTACAAATGAAATCAAAACTAACCACACTGATTTTGGCAGCTCACATTGCATGTTTTGTGGTGAACAATTTATCTGCGCATGTCATTAAGAAAAAAAAAATAGCTGGCCAATCCAATATTTAATTGAAATCTGAAAATGCACTTCCTATTTGTTTTCAGTTAAATTCTCATATAACATACTTAACCCCTCCCCCTCCAACTGTCCATTTTGACTACAAACAGAAATGGTGAGAAAGAGGTGTCTGTTAGGTTGTAATAACTAACCCTTTTGCCCACCTTTCTGAATGAAGTGCCTACTTTACTACATCCAATCAACTTGCAGCAGAAAAAAACAAGCCACGCCCACTGTTTGTCATTTAATATTTAGTTTCTCTAGGAACTGCGTCACAATATGAAAAAAAAGGTTGCAGCTTCCAGTTCATGTGGACTTAAATAATTCTCGTTGTAGTGGAAACTCTACATTTCATTAGTTATAAAATGTAAAGAGTAGAGCGCATAGCTACATATAAATATTTTTGAGCACTTTAGATTAAGAAAATTAAAATAAATGTACAAGTTTGCATTACATTACTGAGAAATTGCTGAGACTTTTATTTCAATGTGTTGGTGTACTTCCAACTGAAACTGAATATTGAGTAGGGGGAGGGGCTTTCTTTTTGCGCATCATTACCTTTTAGCAAACTAACGGTTAAGAATAATGTGACTAAAGCATCAATAGAGAATTACCACAACTCCAAACACAGAGGCAAATAATCAGATTTGATTAAAGATTACCAAAGCAAACTTTTTTCCCAGTGAATTAACTTTAATTAAAATAATTTTTTTCTTTTTGTGATTGACCTTAATCTCGATGATTCTCGATGTACTGATTAAGTACATTAGAATAACAAAATAATACTAATTAAAAAAATACAAGTTTGCATTACATTACTGAGAAGTAGAAGTGAAAAAGTTCTTAAAGTCTGTGTGAACAAATGGCTGAGACTTTTATTTCAGTGTGTTGATGTACTTCCAACTGAAACTGAATATTGAGTAGGGGGCGGGGCTTTCTTTTTGCGCATCATTCCCTCTTAGCAAACTAATGCCAAGGTTCAGACAGCACGATATTCGAAGTTACGGATGGTTTCATACTGCATGACTTTCTGGGGTAGGATTCCATCGCTGCTGTGTTTGCACTGCAAGATGGATTGGCGACAGGGGCTTTCACACTGAATGACTTTACAAAGGAGAATTGCCGACAACTTTGTCTCGGACCACAAACTACGTCTCACAACCAGACCAACACAAGGTCTACTTCTTTTGCTCACCAGGCTTTAGGCTTTCCTCAACTTTATTTCTGTTTTGACCAGGTTGTGGTATTGCTCAGATGACACGTCAAACAGACATGGGTGCTCCTGCCAAATTTACTCAAGTTTTTCCTCCATTTCTTGAGTCCAAATAGATCGAAAAGAAGCCCTTTTAACTTCTTTCCTTACCTCCTGTTGGCCTGCAGATACCCATACTAGTGAATGCTGCTCTCATGGCATGATTTGAATCACCGACAGCTCCAGATATATAGCATGCCAAATATCTGACGGGTGTCTGCGACTCATCCACAATTCTCTCAGATCGTGTCTTCGATAGTTCACACTGTGTGATTGTTCCTCACGTGAACAAGCACCGATTTGCCTGTGATTTCAGGCATATGTCTGTGATTTCTCAAAGCCTGTCGGCGAGTCAAAAATCGGGGCTTAAATCATGCAGTCTGAACTCAGCATAACGGTTAAGAATAATGTGGCAGAAGCGTCAAACTGACGTCAACAAAGAATTACCGCAACTACCGAACACATATTTAGATTTGATTAAAGATTACCATAACTTACCAAATGTTTTTCAGCGAATTAACTTGGACGGATTAATGATTGACCAAAAAAGAATAACAATGTGCGCTGACCAAATAAACATTGTACATTTTTCAACAAGATCGAAATGTTACCAAAAACATGACCGGAAATTGTTATGAGATTCACCCATATACCCAGTTTGATCAGTTCAAACCTCACCAGAGAGTCTCGATCCCAGTGCTAATGTTTTAAAACATTCTAGTCACACTGTTACTTAAACAGGCTATCATTTCAAAATCCAGTACAGATAAACATAGCGATTCACAAAAATATCTTCATTTAGCTGAACACGCTGGGAAAACGTTGTGTTAAGCATGCAGAATTTCCCTTTAGTTTCAAAAGCGACTGTGTTTTATAAAATCCATTAAACAAGTAATACACACACACACACACAATCTGACAATGTGAATAATAAACAGGTCTCGATGAATTATGTACAATTGTGAGTCACAATGCGATTCAAACACGCGTTAACTCTTCATCATCTCTGAATCTATGCTTGCAGAATTGCAGAAATCAAAGCCAGTTTTCACAGAATGCTAGTCATTCACAAAATTCAACACATCCCCCGGAAGAATAAATATTCTGTCTAATGTCATCATGTTTTTAGCTATCAACAGAACTATAGTACTTTAAGCACTGACGAATACATTTTGTCATATTCATCTATTCTGCACAATTACATTATTTGTCTTCACAAACAGTGCAGAAAATGTGAGGGGGAAAAAAGTGCACTGATTCATTCAAGCCTACTAATAACCTACAAATACTCAACTGGCTTCTTTTTGCCAACGAACATATGGAAACACTTCAGGTGACTAAATAATTGCATCTTCCGCCCAAATAAAATGTGATCCACACATCTGAAAGCAGATTTCTACAAATGTTTGCACTAATTTTAGCTTACAAATGCAATGCTCATTGTATCAAATGTTCATCTGATGCATGTACATAAACAGTTAAAGTGCCCCTATTATGCTGTTTCTATATTACATTTCATGTAGTGTATGATACAGTTCTTAGTGAATATGAAATAATCAAAGGGTGCGACATTTTGGGATGCTTGAGCTGCCAAACCCCTTTTTAAATGTCAGATATCTTGTATTCTAGCAGAACAAGTAACAACCGTGGTTAAGTATCAAAAGATAATACAATAACACATTGGAAACTTTAATTGCATATATTTTTACAACAATTCTGTCTGGTTCTCGAATCTGATTGGCTGATAGCCGTGCGAAATTCTGCAATATAAGAACTCGTATAGCAAATTCACTCTGCCCACATAGAGTGACAGCAGATTAATAAACTCACTACAGTTTGACAAATAGTGCTGCAGTTGGACAACAACGTACTTTTGAGGCTTTTTAGTTGAGAATGTAGCTATTTAGATTGCAACCATGCAGTTTATTTATAAGGACAGTGCCTATTTTAAATATTCATAATTTTGTAGATTCAGCGAGTCGGCGGCAAGCCTGTCATACTGAGCAGAGCAAAGACAGTTGACGTTCCACCTCCAAATCCTTAAGGGAGAAAAACAGCATTTTCTCAGCGCAAGTTTTCAACTACAGCTGAACAAATCATTATAAAACTGGTAAGTGACATTCTAAGTCAATCTCTCTCTCTTTTGTATGTTGCAGTGCTGCATTTATACCATTGTAATCTGGTAGTATTTGCATTGCCTTTTGCGGGGTTAATTTTTGTGAAATCTCGATTGCAACAGAGAAATACTGGGAAATCTCTGTAGACTGATAGCAATTCATGTTGTTTAGCCCTATAATCTTATAATGTGAGCAAAATCACCTGTTTTGTCATAATTTTAAACATTACATTAGAGAATTATTAGCTCTAAAGTCACGTGTTTGTAAGCAATTTTTTGTGCTGTTCTGATGTCAGCTGCAGATGTGAATGAATGGTGGAAGAAAGTAGTTCCTCATACAAACAGATTTTTAGATGCTCCATGTTAGATTTACTTTTTCTATACGCGATTATGCCGTCAAACTGTTGTATAAATGCAATATTATGCTTGTAGCAGTGCGATATGGCTGTATACCGTCACTGGTGGGACACTAAGGCACTCAGCCTGCAGCCTCGAGCCCATGCACACCTCCCACCAGTGTCAATATACAGCCATATTACTCATTGTGTGTGTGTGTGTGTGTGTGTGTGTGTGTGTGTGTGTGTGTGTGTGTGTGTGTGTATATATATATATATATATATATATATATATATATATATATATGCACACACACACACAAATATTATTGGTTTATTTCCTCCTATGTTTTAGTTCTGGAGTTCAAATAAAAAGCCAAATAAATATATTTTGGAGTAAATAATACTACAAATAAATATAAAATCTGATTTAAAAAAACGAAAGTGCGTGATAAATGCAGTTCCAAAATAAAAGAACTGTTTCTGAACTCCCCGAAATGAGTTGTCAGTAATTTCAGCATTACTTTCCACACAAAAATCGGTTGGTAACAAATTTGCTTAAATGTTTGCATATAGTTTTCATTAATTGCTTGCAAACATTGTCTTCTTTGACCTTCAATCACTGTAGTCATAGCAGAGGCCTGGAAGCGTTTGGTTAATGTGGCTGACGTGGTGAGAAGATGCTATTTTGTTGCACTGCAAAAACAAATCCATTTTGTATGCACTAACAAACGAATGAGTTGTGTTTGAATGAGTTACTGTTTATTGTTTTAGAAGTGCTAAGAAAACCACTGAAGCTAAAAATTCAGATATGGTGACACGTGCTGTAGGTGGTAGAGCAATCACAGACTGGTTCATCTGACCAATAAGAGCAGAGCAGGCACTCGGAGAGGAGGGATTTAAAGAGACCGCACCCTTAAATCAATAGTAATATATACACCTTAAGAAAAGAGGTACTGCTGCAATGTAGATGCTATAGAAAATTGGATGAATGTAAACATATTTAAAGTTAGCAACCTTTAATGATAGCATAATAGGGGCACTTAAAGAACAGACATAATGCAAGTGGTCAGTATTTTGTTATCAGAACAGAAATGAGTTGAATGTAGACTTGGTGTGCTAACACTGGGTGGATTTAGTTTAAGTGAACGAGGATCAAAAACAAATCTACCAGCGGACACCATTATCATGGAAACATGAAGATGTCGCCGTACACTGTAATAAAGGCGGTGTACGTGAATAGAATCTCTCTCTGGTTGCTAGGATACTGTGATGACAATGTGCCAACCCTGTTGCTGAGTGACAGATATGGAGGCTCTGGCTGCAGACCGGCTTCAGGTGAACAAACTGGACGATGAGGGAAAAAAGAGAGAGAAATAGCAATGTTAGCAAGATGAGACAATCTCTACCTGCACATTAGCATCAAACTGATAATAGAAGAAGATCAGAATTCTCTCAGTGCAGACCAAGGCTGCTTTGAGCTGATCATATTTTTGCTGTCAATATGAATGGATGGGTTTAATTAAATGGCCTAAGGCTCTAAAGCTACATTCATTCAAACTGAAGGCAAATGTGGCCCAAATCTGACTCGAAATTGCATCTCTATTCTGTCCTGAATCGAATCTGAGGTAGTTTTTGACAGAAGATGGCGCTGTATTATAGTTTTTAATGGTTTTTAATTTAATAAGTACGCTCACAAGGAAGAGTGCTTGTGCAATTGGCCAAGTCATGCAAGTTGACTTTTATATCACAAGGTAAATGTAAACGCTGCTCCCTATAAACACTCACACTCTTGTCATTCATGTAAACCTTTCGTAAAGGTATTAATAATTATTTTTGGTTCAGGTGGTATTTATATGGAAGTTAATGCAGGCAGAGTATGGCTGATTATAAAGCCTAGAGTGCCATTATATTGTTAAAAACGAACCTAGAGCGCCATCTGCTGTCAAAAAACGTGTCTGGAGCCTGATCTGCTGTTACAAACTAGTGTAGAGCGCCATCTGCTGTTAAAACAACTAGTCTGGAGCCTGATCTGCAGTTACAAACTAGTCTAGAGCGCCATGTGCTTTTAAAAAACTAGTCTGGAGCCTGATCTGCTGTTGCAAACTAGTCTAGAGCGCCATCTGCTGTAAAAAAATAGTCTGGAGCCTGATCTGCTGTTTATAACTAGTCTAGACCGCCATCTGCTGTTAAAAACTAGTTCTGGAGCCTGATCTGCTGTTACAAACTAGTCTAGACCGCCATCTGCTGTTAAAAAACTAGTCTGGAGCCTGATCTGCTGTTACAAACTAGTCTAGAGCACCATATGCTGTTAAAAAAACTAGTCTAGAGCCTGATCTGCTGTTACAAACTAGTCTAGAGCGCCATCTGCAGATAAAAACTAGTCTGGAGCCTTATCTGCTGTTACAAACTAGTCTAGACCGCCATCTGCTGTTAAAAAACTAGTCTGGAGCCTGATCTGCTGTTACAAACTAGTCTAGAGCACCATCTGATGTTAAAAAACTAGTCTAGAGCCTGATCTGCTGTTACAAACTAGTCTAGAGCGCCATCTGCTGTTAAAAAACTAGTCTGGAGCCTTATCTGCTGTTACAAACTAGTCTAGACCGCCATCTGCTGTTAAAAAACTAGTCTGGAGCCTGATCTGCTGTTACAAACTAGTCTAGAGCACCATTTGCTGTTAAAAAAACTAGTCTGGAGCCTGATCTGCTTTTTATAACTAGTCTAGAGAGCCATCTGCTGATAAAAACTAGTCTGGAGCCCGATCTGCAGTTAAAAACTAGACTAGAGCACGGTTTAAAACTAGTCTAGAGTGCCATCTGCTGTTTAAAACTAGTCTAGAGTGATATCTCCTGTTAAAAACTAGTCTGGAGCCCGATATGCTATTAAAGACAAGTCTAGAGCACCATTTACTGTTATAAACTAGTCTGGAGTCTGATCTGCTGTTTAAAACTAGTCTAGAACACCATCTGCTGTTAAAAACTAGTCTGGAGCCCGATATGCTGTTATAAACTATTCTAGAGTGCCATTTGCTGTTACAAACTAGTCTGGAGCCCGATCTGCTGTTTAAAACTAATCTACAGCGCCATCTGCTGTTATAAACTAGTCTGGAGCCTGATGTGCCATTAAAAACTAGTGTAGAGCGCCATCTGCTGTTACAAACTAGTCTGGAGCCCAATCTGCTGTTTAAAACTAGTCTAGAGTGCCATCTGCTGTTAAAAACTAGTCTAGAGCGCCATCTGCTGTTAAAAACTAGTCTAGAGCGCTATCTTCTGTTTAATACTAGACTAGAGCACCATCTGCTGTTACAAACTAGTCTTGAGTGCCATCTGGTGTTTAAAAATAGTCTAGAGCGCCATCTTCCATTTAAAACTAGTCAAGAGCGCCATCTGCGATTTTAAACTAGTCTAGAGCGCCATCTACTGTTTAAAACTAGTCTAGAGCGCCATCTGCTATTTCAAACTAGTCTAGAGCGCCATCTTCTGTTTAAAACTAGTCTGGAGCCTGATATGCTATTAAAAACTAGTCTAGACTGCCATCTGCTGTTAAAAACTAGTCTGGAGCCAAATCTGCTGTTAAAAACTAGCCTAGAGCCTCATTTGCTGATAAAAGCTAAGCTCAGGATCAATTCAAGACAGAATAGCAATGTATTTTGTAAATCTTAGAATCAACAGAAAATCATTTTGTTTCATTTGCCACAGCTCTAGTAAACAGACTCCTAAATGAGCAGTTATATGCCTATATTTGTCAGTTCATTGCTAGTATTCGATCTTTCCTTTTCTTTTTCAGTGTTTCCCAGCCTTACATTATAGTGTGATCAAGACTTCTATCAATGGTGTTTCTTACCAGCTCTCCCTGACTGCCTCAATGTCACTCAGTAGATTCTGTGCCAGACAGATCCCAAATATCTAGAAGCAGAGGATGAGTTATTGCCTGCAGGGCAACACTATGCATTACACAGCAAAGCACTTTATTAGGTAGCTTTATTAAATCAAATCTTAATGCCTTTCAACAGTGTTCAAATGTCCAAAGAGAATACAGCTCCCTGTAAATCAATAAAATAACCACACTTGGCAGGTCTTGTTCAGGCTGTAAATATGAAAGACAGTTGCTGAAATAAAAGAGCACTTACAAGAAGCTGGAGATAAATTCCATGGCGGTGCATGAACTACAATATTTACATAACTTGATATGCGGTATCAAATCCAAGGATGTGTTTTTAAAATCAAAAGTATAAATATGGGAGTATCAGACATATTTTGACACAATTCATAAATTGTATTGTTCTCCCGTTGAATTTTCAGCATAATTTCATCAGTCTTCATTGTCACATGATCCTTTAGAAATCATTTTCATATGCTGATCAAGGATGACTTCTTAATATTATCAATAAAAAGCTTGTTATTATATTGTATTATGTCATATTGTTTTCTTTTACTAAAAAGAAATAGTCAAATACAGAGTAATAAATATAATAATAATAAAAAACATTATTTTTAATTTAATAAAATGTAATTATATCTTTATAATTAAGGTGGGTGAATTCTGCAAATGATTCTTCTGTGATTGTCATGAAAATAAATGACCCATTCACTTCATAAATGACAGCTGTTTCCAGTGAGATAGAAACTAAATTAACATAAATGCAAATGCGTGTGTATTTCTGTGCCTGTCACTCTTCATTCACCTGTAGAAGTGCAATTCCTATGAAGATTCCGGCAACTACGGTTAGATTCTCCTGTAGCCATTTCTCGAACTGCGGCACACATCCTTTCGTGTGTATAAACGTCTTGTGTTCAATGTCCTTCACACAAAAAAAATACACATTACCCAAAGATCATTAAAATACATGCTAAATAGTTCTGTAAAACTTTCTATAAACCATGCATAGATAGAAAAAGGTGTTCTCTAGTAATGAATAATTGACAACAGGCCATTGAATTATTAGAGTGATAAATAAGGCCATGACCTGAGGATAATAATTAAATAGACCAGAGTCAATTATTATGATTTTATAATAGGTAGAACACCTGTAAGACACTGTTCAAAATTGTATTTCAAGATGTTTTTCAGTTTAAGTTTGTTTATTTATTGCCACATCAGCAACGCATGGCTATTTCATGACAAGATCAATAAACATATAACAATATATTATGTAATCAATCAATATTTTTGTAATATAACATATTACATAATAATAAAGATGAAATTATACAAATATATCATTATAATTAAATTATTTTTAAATTAATAAATAAAAATGATTGTCAATGTTTTACAATAAAATATTTAGATAAATACATTTTCAGTTAAATAAAAAAAAAAAAAAACAACTTAAAATTCTTCCTTGGGAAACATTTTTAAAAAGCATCCATCAAAGTGCTCGTAATATAAAAATCTTGTCTAGACGTTTTAAAATTTCACATTCTAATAAAATGTGTTTTATGGTGAGCGAGGTTTAACAGCGATGTCGCGGTCGGGTTCAGGCTAAAACCTGGCGGGTGCGGGCGGGAGTGGGATTCAAAATTTAGCAGCAGGACTCTCACTGTGAAAAAATGGAAACAAAACCTTTGTTGCGGCACAGTTATAAACTACAATGATGACCCATGTCTCCGAACAATTCTTCTTTTTTCACTTGTTTTAATTACGGTTGGCAACACAACGTGGCGTCTCTCTTTGAAGTCTTTGAAGCTAGCGTTCATAATAATGAAGTTGCACCTCATTCACAATAGAGCGTACTGATTGGCGGTCTGGAAAGACTTGTCTTTCTCATGAATTAATGCTGAAAACTCAAAGACGTCACTTTGTACTCACCAGTATAAACATATAGTCGTAGATGTGAAGTAGATTCAAAATTTCTTTTTAAACTGGAAGGCTGAATTCGCTCGAAATAACGCAAAAACAACCAATTTTCCCTTTTTTTTGAGTAAAATATGTGTCCTAGTAGTGTTTTTAGCAATGTGGTACACATATATGACTGTCAACATCCCAAAAAAACGTGTTTTGTGAAACTTTGACTTACACTCACTGCATTTTAGCAGTAAGAAGCGACGATACAGAATATTGAGCTAAAGCTTGACTACAAAATTAAATCGTAAATCAAATCGAAATTGCAGTAAAACTCGCAGTTAGATATTTTCCCCAAATCGCACAGCCCTAGTGCATATGAACTGAATCCATATGAATCAATTTTATGTCTCTTTGTGTATATTTTTGTATCATTTTGGAGCTTGACAGACTTAGTTTAATAAAATGGAAAAATAGTGGCCAGTTTGTTGTGTTAAAAGTATGAATAAAGGATTAGTGACTTTGTAGTGAATATTATTCATTTGTTTATTATTTGTTTGACAAAAGCATACTTACACCCTTCCCTCGTATGTCATATCCACACTGTGTGTTGATCACATCCTCCTTTGAAAAGAAAAAAGTCGTATTTAATCTTTCGGAAGACGCCAACCTCCAACTTAACATTCCACATTATATCTGAGCAATGTAATATACTGAGTGAGAGCTGTTGTTTTGTTTATGACTCTGCTCTGTCTGCAACGGATCTACATCACTTCCCGTTTATGTTCCCAGGTCTTCTGGAAGGAGACAATGACACATTCTAGGTGGTGAGATGACTAGAGGATGTGTGTTTGTGTGTCCTGCATGCGAGTTAATTGTGTTTTTATGTGTTTACTCACAGCGGGGTCCTTGGTGCAGCAGGAAAAGGGAACCCCGCACTTCTCTCTGCTCAAATTAGTGTCAGTACAATTAAAGTAAATGTTCAGATTCCAGTCTTCAGGTCCAAAAGCTCCGCAACACTCCCACTGCAGGAACAAAACGTGTGTTGAACATTCACGTGTGGATCAACCAATAGCTGAAAGCCATTTCAATGTTGAGCAGATTGAATCTTGCTTGCTATATTGCTAATCAAGTAACATTTTACAGTAATGTCAGAGTAGTTAACAGCTTTAATTATTTGTTAGCCTATTGATTTATGTTTGAAAATTGTAAATGAATAGGTCATGTCAGCTCAGGTTATTATTATAATAATTGCTTAGTTTCTTTAATTATAATAATGTATTAAACATTGAAAAAAACGGCTTAAAACAGGGGTGTCAAACTCTCTTTAGCTCAGGGGCCAAATGGAGGAAAATCTATTCCCAAGTGGGCTGGACTTATAAGATAATAGTATATGGTACATGGTAGAATTTAAAAACAACAACTTCAGATTGTTTTCTTTGTTTTAATATGATCAACATAAAACCTAAAGCTGGAGCCCGAGGACAACACGATCTCACGGCAATTCGTAACTTTTTGATGTAGTGGCTAATTTATATAAATTCGTATGATCTCCTTCGTACAATTTAGCACGATTTGCTTATCCACCAATGACGGTTGGGTTGAGGGGTGTGGTTGGATGCCACACCTCCTTTTTTATATCATATGTTTTTGTACGACTGAAAACGTACAAATTAGCAATAAACTGACAAAACGTGAAATAGTTACGTTTCCATGTGAGAACACCTCAGTGTGGTATGGCAGGGCATAGATGGGTTCTTTTTTCTCAGAGGGATGTCAAACTGACTCTGATTTAGGCTTTGGAATCTGATGAAATTAAGTTTGCAGGGTTAAACCTGTTTGCGGCGGGCCATACGTTTGACACCCCTGGCTTAAAGACATCTCTCATGAGAAGAATAAAGTCACATGCATTGCTCAGGTGTGAGTTTTTCCAAGGACTTCAACAGTGTGTAAAACTGATCATGATTCTGTGGGTCTCGTCTATCCAAATCTGATCTTTATTTTGTATTTTCTATTGAATACAAGTCATGTGATTGGCTGGGCCATTCCACAGCTTTATTTTCTTTCTGTGAAAGCATTTGAGTTTCCTTGGCTGTGTCTTGGATCATTGTCTTGCTGAAATGTCGACTCTGATTTCATCTTCATCATCCTGGTAATGTAGATATTGGACTGAAACAGGAATGCTAAAGAACTACTGAGAGACTTTAGCTGCTGTCTGGGCTTTCAATGCCTTTCTACACCTGCCTTTCTTCATGTGTTCAATACTATTTTGCATCATTTAATTTTATCACACATACCTTTATTTGTAAACCAATTATATTTGTTTTTTTGCATATGAATATATATCTATATATATATATATATATATATATATATATATATATGGTTGCTACCAACATCTGGTAAAACTTTCAAGCCAACAGCACATTTAGAAGTATATTATCTGAGAAAAATGATGATGTGTTCAATACATATTTCCCCCACTGTACATTAATTATTCACACATTAACTGTATATAAATGTATTAGTACATAATATACATACATACATAATATTACATCACGTAATAATAATAGTTAATACAATTTAACTAATCAGTTTATTGTCAAATAAACCGAACTACTCAAACTTGACAACATTTTGAAAATGCTTATTTATTATTATTATTATTCTGAATTGAGATTCCACTTCACCTTAAAGAAAACCCTTTTGTTTTTATATTTTTATGTGCGTTCTTACATAATCTTGTGTGAAATCGATGAGATTCTGTAGGTCAATGTCGTCTCTGTATGCTCTGATGTTGTTGTTGATGAAGAACTTGAGCTGGTCTTTAATCCAGTCCTTAAAGACAAATGCCAAGACTCCCGCCGTCAACTCCAGGAAAAAAATGATTCCCAGAAAAACGGAAAACTGTGAAAGAGGACAGCAGAGTTCAGGTTACACAACTCAAGATGGATAACATAATTCTGCCCTGAGGATATCCAGCGAGTCAAGAATGTGTTGAATCCCCACAACAGTTTAAGCTAATGTTCTCCGGCTTGGGGTTTCTATCCCTGCCAAAATCCCTCGGCGCATTTACAGAGAAATGTACATTTTTTAGACATGACGTAGTTCCTGTCTCAAAACAGTCACATATTTTCACAACGTTTATCTCCATTTGCACACAGAATGTCTTATATGAAGCGTAGTGAGTGATGATTTGTCACTGTGACCACAACGAATACTTCCAGGGTGACATCACAGCTGTTTCCAGATGTTTTAAGAAGCCTCTGTTACCCTATAGAGGAAATGGGCCTCTTGTAAGGCTCTTTCGCAACACTGTTCTTGACATTCCCACAAAGCAGCAAACACAGACCACCAGAATCTGCGTGAGAGGAAGTTCACACACTTTCAAAGCCAGTCAATCCCACCTCTCGACGTAGATACTCATTTCCAGCCATTCAAAAGCACACCTGGAGTCTTATTTCACATTTGTCTGGACACTATTTAGATACCATTTACAGAGAAGGAAGCATTGGTATTTTTTCAGGTTAAGGAATCAAGGGTCAAAATTTAAAAAACAGGGCACGTTAGTATAAGAATAGGATCCTGTTAAAGTGTTAATTAAATGCACTCCATTTTGTGGGGTAAATATACTAATTTTACAACTCACCTAGAGTTAAACAGTTGAGTTTTACCATTTTTAAACCTTTCAGTCAATCTCTGGGAATGGCGCAAGCAATTTTAGCTTAGCATAAATCATTGAATCGGATTAGACCATTTGCATGTCACTCAAAAATATAAATAAAAAGAGTTTAGATATTTTTCTTATGTCAAGTCAGACTCTTCTGTAGTCACATCATGTACTAAGACTGCGAAAAATGTAAAATTAGCTAATTTCTAGGCCTGTACACCTAGGAACTATTCTCTCATTACAGCATAATAATCAATGAATTTGGATTTGAATTTCATTTTCTGTCAGTCTTAGTAAACAGATTATTGTCAAATAAACCAAACTACTCAAACTTAGCAACATTTTAAAAGTGTGCATTTATTATTATTGTTATTAATATTTAAAGAAATGCATATTAAATTGAGACTACACTTCACCTTAAAGAAAACCCTTTCTGTGGTTTGATTTTTATGTGTGTTATTATTATTATTATTATTATTTTAAAGCACACCTGCAGTCTCTGTTCACGATTGTCTGGACTAACGTACCATTTACAGAGATTACAATGAAGAATTGTGTTGGTATTATTTCTCAAACATTTAGGCTAGAAATCAAGAGCCAGTTTAAAAAAAAAAAAAACAGGGCATGTTAGTACGAGATTGTGATTCTATGGCCGAGTTAAATGCACTTCACTTTTTGGGGTAAATATAATTTGAAAAAAAATATTTTACAATATACTTAGAGTTAAACAGCTGAGTTTTACTATTTTTTATCCATTCAGTCGATCTTCGGGAATGGCGGGAGCAATTTTAGCTTAGCATAAATGATTGAATCGGATAAGACCGTTAGCATCTCACTCAACATATTTTTTAAGAAGTTAAAGAAAAAAAAATAATTAAAAAACAAAAACATATCCTATTTAAAGCTTGACTTATCTGTAGTTGCATTGTATACTAAGATCAATAGAAACTGAAAAATTGCTATTATCCAGGAAATTATATGCCAGGCAACTATAGTTTCATTCCAGCGTAATTATTAAGGATATTTGCTTCCGTACATGAGAGTATAGTTTGTAGCCATAGCAACCTTTCATTTTCAGTTGGTCTTAGTACACAATGTAACTACAGAAGAGACAAGCTTTAAAGGGTCACAACCCAGCTTTTTTAAGCTGTTGACAGTCATATATGTGTCCCATGCTGCTAAAAACACTATTAGGACACATATATTACACTAAAAAGTGAAAATTGGTTGTTTTTGCGTTATTTCAAGAAAATTTGTACTTCCCGTTTGAAATGTATTTTTTAAGCTGCGTCACGGACATGAGATTTTAGAGTGTATTACAGCATGTAGACTGGATGTCTGTACCTGGGAGTGCATTATTATGTCTCTGAGTGTGCTGCATTAATGCATGAGTAAGAGTTGGTTCAAACCAATCAGCGCGCTCTATTGTGCAACTTCATTAATATGCATGCTAGCTTCCAAGACTCTTTTTACCTGTTCAGACGGCAGAGAGAGACGCTGCGTTGTTGCTAAAACAAGTGTGCAGCGTTGCTTTTATAATTTGCTGCAGTGAAGGTTTTGCTTTTATTTTCTCTCTATGAGAGCGCAGCTGGACTCACGTGTGAATTACAGTGCACACGACGCTCGACAACAATAAGTGTCTAAGGAACATTATTTACGCAAGAGCTTTTCTCATCTGGAAATGGTGAGATCCGCATTTGCTGCTCTTAATAAAGGCGCGGGTCTAGTTAGTTTTGATTGTCCTGTCTCTACAGATTTGGTGAGCGACCAGTGGTCTTTGTTAATTCAGATGGCAAAGTTAGTTTGTATCGAGCAAACCATTACACCAAGTGTAAACATGTTAGCACCACAATCAAACTTACCGTCGTGGAGGATTTTCACTGCATTTTGTGACAGCAATAACACACACGGCTTTCTGACGCTACTTGCCGAGTGCAACTAAGTTTCCGGGAAATGCAGAGTTTTTTTCTCTCTCATTCGTCGTGCGGTAACAAACATTGCATAAAAAATACACGCTTAGAGCAGTGCCTCGAATAAAATATCTCGTTTGTCACGAGGGGCATGAATGAAATTCCTGAATGAAAGAGCCAAACTGCAGTTAAAGTCCACCATTTAATAATTTGGCAAATAATTGGATTAATGATGTCCATGTAAACACAGTCACTGTCTTTCTCCCCTGTGTGTGTGTGTGTGTGTGTTCCTTCTGTGAAAATCGATGTGTGCCCAAACCGACACTCCCATTTTTATGCACATTTTTACAGACCCTCCCTCTTTTGCTCCTCTGACATTTAAACATGGCCCTTTAAATAGGAAAGAGATTTAAACCCTTTATTGATTTTTTTGTGAGATGCTAATGGTCTAATCAGATTCAGTGCATTATGCTAAGCTAAGTTAAAAGTGCTCTTGTAAGACCCGGAGTTTGGCTGATAGAATTTTAAAGGGCCATGAAACCCCCTCGTTTCAGCAGGGTGTTTTCACACCTCTACTTCGGAAAAAGTCAGAAAAGCGGGCGTGCCCAGCTCTGTTTAGGGGGGAGTGTCGGAGGAACTAAAGTGGGAGAGTGTGGGAGTGTCTATTTGGGCACGCGCGAGTTTCAGTCAAAATACTCACACGAGAAAGTGATGGTGTATTTTTTACAGTCATTGTGTTTAACCTACATGGACATCTGTAGTTGAATTATTTGCCAGATTATTAAATGTTGGACTTTAACTGCAGTTTGGCTCTTTCATTCAGGGAATTCATTCATGCCCCTCGCGACAAACGCGATACTTGATTCGAGGATCTGCTCTAAGCGTGTATTTTTCATGCAATGTTTAATACCGCACGGCGAATGAGAGAAAAAAAAGCTCCGCAATTCCCGGAAACTTAGATGCACTCGGCAGGTAGCGTCAGAAAGCCGCGTGTGTTATTCCGGTCACAAAATGCGGTGCTAACAAGTTTGCACTCAGTGCAATAGTTAACTTAATTCGATACGAACAATCTGAATAAACAAAGAGCACTGGTCGCTCACTTACCAAATCTGTAGAGACAGGACAATCACCAGCAACTAGAGCCGCATCTTTATGAAGAGAAGACTACAAGCTAATCCGGATTTCAGCGTTTGCAGATGAGAACAGCTCTCAGGTAAACAATAATCCTCCTTGGACACGTAAATTATTGTTGTCGAGCGTCGCGTACACTGTTAATCCACACGTGAGTCTGAGCTCTCACAGAGAGAAAATGAAAACGAAACTTAATGGCAGCAAACTATAAAAGCAACACTCCATGCTTGTTTTGCCAACACAACGAGGCGTCTCTAGTGTAAACAGTGACACTAATGAATATTAATGAAGTTGCAGAATAGAGCGCGCTGATTGGTTTGAACCAAGTCTTACTCATGCATTAATGCAACACACTGTAAGACGTAATAAGACTCACTCTGGCACAGACGCCCAGTCTGCATGCTGGAATACACGCTATTATGTCATGACCGTGACGCAGCTTCAAAAATTCGTTTCAAACCGGAAGTACGAATTTGCTTGAAATAACGCAAAAACAACCAATTTACACTTTTTAGTGAAATATAGGTGTCCTAATAGTGTTTTTAGCAGTGTGGGACACATATACGACTGTCAACAGCTCAAAAAATGTGTTTTGGTGTTTCGTGACCCTTTAAAAATGGTAAAACTCAACAATTTAACATTAAGTGAGCTTTAAAAAGAGCCTATTTCCAAAAAAAGTGTGTTTCTTTAACGAGAGCGGATTTTACTGGAAATGTGCAAATTAAGAAACACTGATCCAGCAGCTCATTTTCATAATGTCCAATGCATTCTGCCAGGAGCAGTGCAAATTAAAACTAATGTGGCTTGGTATTCGATATGTTCGGATAACGTCTTCTTTTGGTATTCTTAATGAATTCACAATGTAGTGGAGAAAACGATTTCCTTTCTACCATGCCCTAAACAATTATGCTGTCCATTTTTGGGCTGCGTCTTGTGACATAGTGTGCTGTTTTTTAACTGTTTAGATGTCTTTGCATACATTTTTCAGTCAAACCACACTACAGTCTTGTTCACACTGCATTAATAGAGCAATCACAGCGGAGTTTGAGAGCACATTGCAAAACACAGAAGCTGTGTTATGTATAGAACATTTCTCGTGCACAGCAGTTAAGACAAAAATAACCAGATATGCGCCAAGTGTCATGACAAGTTCAAGGCATTTATGCCAAACCACAGCTAGTAAACATAATAAGCAGCCCGAAAACTTTGCACACTCCTGCTATTAATATATAAAGCATAACATAATATGTTGTAAAACATATTGACTTTAAAAAAACTTACAAACTTAAGGAGAAAGGAGTTTTCTCTCAGAGCACCAATGCACCCTGCGAAGCCGAGGACGAACATCACTCCACCGACCACAAGAAACAGCCACACCGGGTCAAAGCCACCCAGATCTGTGATGGAGGATATGTTGGAGAGAACTCCCTGATGGAAATGACAACAGATGAGATTAATAACTTGTCTTTACTTTGATGAGATGAAGGTTTCACTTATGAAGATGGTCTTCACTAACCTTCTCACTCCAGGCCCACAGAGCCACAGACAGGAACGCCACCCCGAGCAGCTAAAGGGTGTATAAATGTTTGACAGATAAAGACCAAATCAGCAATTTTTAAAAAAGATTACATTTAAATTTTATTTATTGATTTAAAGTGTTGATATACTGATTTTTTTAGAATATATATATAATTATTTTTAAGTTGCCCTCTAATACAGACAAGGCAAAAATCACCTGTCACATCCCAGCAAATAATTTTGTCTTTAATGGACATCTAATAGACATCTAAACGTAAACAGCTTGGCTAAAACAAGGCTACACTTGGGCTGTCTGTGAAAATCAGATCTAACAGAGATCTAAGAATAGCCCGAAACTAGACTAGTCATCAAATAGACAGACTTTATATGTGTTGTCATTCATTTATTTATTTGATGAATAGTCTAGTTTTGGCCTATTCTTAGACGTCTATTAGATTTTCACTGACAGTCCAAATTTAGCCTTGTTTTAGCCAAGACGACTATGTTTAGATGTCTATTAGACATATATTAGACATCTTTTAGAAATAAAAAATGCTTGCTGGGATGGGTTGCGTTTCAAAATCTAGTTAGCTGCCTGAGTAGACAACATGTTTAAAACAGCTGATGATACTTTTGGCCATCAGGCTCATGTTAGAAATATTTAAACCATATTTTTTAGCAGCATATGTGTATTTGGAATGTTTTAATAGCATTTTTGATTAGATTGCCATTTTGAACTTGTCTGTGACGTTAACAGAGCAAAATATTTTTTTTTTTGTAGCTTAACACAACCCTAAAGAACAACATATGTGTATTTGGAAGGTTTTAATAGCATTTTTAAGCATATGACTATTCAAAGATGGAGTGGTATAAGATTAGTAAATGTTCAAAAGGCATTTTTAGACTTTATAAACTCGTCTGTGACATTAACAGTGCAAAATACGGGCACTGCAGGCAATTTTTTGAACACTTAAACTATTTTTATAGCATAGCATAACATTACAAAAACTATCAAGAAAATGTAGTATGTTCATAAGTATTTGGCATTTAAAATGTCCAATGATGCTGTCTAGAAAGGCAGCTCAGTATGTTTTGAGGCACAGCCAGTGCGTGTCAGACACCCAAAGGTTGGTTTAATGCAAATCTCAAGCTATAAAATGTAAGATTACACATGCACATTTGGGATGTTTTTAATAGGATTTCAAGTTAGATTAGATTGCATAACATGAGTAAATGTTTACAAAGCATTTCTAGACTTTATAAACTCGCCTGTAATGTTAGCAGTGCAGAATCTGGGCAACGCAGGCTATTTCTGAATGTTTAAGAGCAATTCCATGCAAATGTCAATCATGCCATAAAAAATTACGTTTTCACCCAAATAGCAAAAACCTTTCTACTCTACAGGCACAGGATGTCAACATGACGTCATATTGACGTTGTACCCCGATGTACCCCAACGTCTAGGGGACGTTGGATTTGTTTGGTAATGAAAATTGGGTTGACGTCAGAACCCAACGTGAGGTCTTCAATGTCTAATGTCCAACCTACAATCAACCAAATATCAACGTCTAATCATGTTACACCTTGACGTTGTGTGAACGTTACCACTATGACATTTATCAGACGTTGGGTTTTGGTCACTTTCCAACACAACCTAAAATCAACCAAATATCAACTTAATTTGAAGTCATTATTGGACGTGAAAATAACATTGTCCTTAGACGCCGACTAAACACTGAATTTTGGTTACCTGACGTCATGACCTAAATCTAACCTCTTATGATGTTGTGTGCCTGCTGAACAGCTTTGTTTTGTGTAGGCTTGTATTTTACAGTAGTGTAAAAATACTCAAAAATGTTTCTGTCAATGTTTTCAAACAATTATATTTGATTTACCAAAGTCATAAAAGTGGCAATTTCACATCTGTCACATCCATAACGAAAAGACGTAATATGCATAACCAAGAGTTTTCCTTATAAATGCAAAAAATGTCAAATAAAATCAATCATGTTTGTTCTATCGTGCGCAACTCATACCTTTATGATTAGCATTATTTATTTTGTGTTGTGCAGTTTAATTCACAGAATTTCTACAAAGTATGTTGTATACTGTAAACTTGCAAACTTTTTTGGTTACATCCATAACGCATGTTAATTTAAAATATAAAATAAATTGACGGATTGATTTTTTCTGATCCAATAAATCTGTGATTAGTTCTTTTGAAAATATAAACAGATGTTTCAAAATAATGTTAACATAAACTTTCTCGGTGTATTTATAATTGAAGTTTTTACTGAAAACGTCACATCCATAATGCTGGAATTGCTCTTGAAATACTTTTTGCAGCTTAACATAACCCTGCAGAGCCACATATGTGTATTTGGGAGGCTTTTATAGCACTTCTGGTTAGATTAAGAGCATTTGAACACTTTTGGATTTGAAATTATTCGAAGATCAGGAGCATAAGATGAGTAAATGTTCAAAAGGCATTTCTAGACTTTATAAACTCGCCTGTAACGTTAACAGTGCAAAATCTTGTCAATGCAGGCTATTTTTTGAACATTCAAAATATTTTGTTGTACCTCAACATAACCCTACAGAGCAAAATATGTGTATTCGGAAGGCTTTAATAGCATTTCTGGTTAGATTAAGAGCATTTGAACACTTTTAGATTTGACATTATTCGAAGATGAGGGGTATAAGATAAGTTAATGTCCAAAATGCATTTCTAGACTTTATAAACTCGTTAACAGTGCAAAATATGGACACTGCAGACTATTTTTGTGGCTTAGCATAACCCTACAGAGCAACATATGTGTATTTTTATGGTTTAATAGAATTTCTGGTTGGATTAGGAGTATTTAAACATTTTTGGGTTTGAAATTATTCAAAGGTGAGGGGTATAAGATAAAAAAAAAACCTTTCAAGACTTTATAAACTCGAATGTAACGTTACGCTGCAAAATATGGGCAATGCAGGTTATTTTGGGAACGTTAAACGTGTGTATATTCATTCTAGCATATTACAACCCAACAAAAAATAAATGAATAAATAAATAAACAATTTTGACACAACCAAGTAACTTAAATCTAGTACGCTCAACGGTATCTGGCGTTTAAAACGTTTGACAGTGCTTTCTAAGTAGGCATCTCGGTATGATTTGAGGCACAGCCAGAGTGTGTCAGACACCCAGAGGTTGGTTTAATGCAAATCTCAAGCCATAAAACGTAAGATTACACACGCACACAAACACAATGTCGGAAACTCACCCAAAATATAATATTAAATCCAAATATAAAGTATTTGATGCAACATCCCACTTCGTGCACGTTGAAGTGTTTTCCAGACATGGTTGCGTTTGATAAGAAGCGAGAGAAATTCCTCCCGGTGATTATTAATGATGGAGAAAAAAATCGCCCACCGACTGGAAAACTCGCTCTTTCCTTTCACACCATGTTTATGACATTTCTACAGATTGGCAGGCAACGCCACGCGGGGCTTTGCCTATTTCGCCAAAATTAGTAATTTGCTTATTCGAACAAACCAAATAATTACTGATAAAGATAATTAAAGCGAATAACGGGACGAGCGCTCCTCAGCAAATAAAGATTCGAGAGTGACTTCCGGTTAAATGAATTATGTCATAACACGGTTTTTCAAAATAAAGGTTTCGCTAAAGTGACAAAGAGCCGCAGTGTTGACAATGACATAACTTATAAAATCGCGAATATTCATAATGATCGTCATGTCTGTTAAGTGAAATCAAATACACATATATTATGCATACTTATATTTTTTATTTATCCGTATGATTTCCAGTTGTAGCAGTATGGCTTATTATAACTATACTATTTTTTTATAATTACATGCCATTGCAATTTTGAGATTATAAGATGATATTCAGATGTATCATGTTCATTTACTACCTTCTCAATGTATAATGTGAACCGTCTCTACCACTGTAATAACTGAGGAGTAGTTTTCAGTAGGCTACCACACCCATTTGACAAAGGCAAGGCTACAATTTTAAAATAAAAGTCCTGTGATAAAGTTTTGAAAAGCCAAGTTTGTGATGCCACATAACCTGTTTATTACTTGTGGTCACATTTATCTAATCTACAGATGTGCCAAAAGCACTGAAAATGACTAAATCTATATTAGATGGATACTTTTGGGGCGCAGGTTTATTCAGATCAGTCAGAAGAATACTTTTTGTCCATCTTAATGGCTATGAGAAATTTTTTTTTGATAACCAAAGCTTCAATTTATTTTATTATTATTTTTTTTAATCATGTCCTGAATTAAAACACTGCAATGTGCTTTTATGCATCTGTTTTCGTAGCGGCCATTTTAAAACTGGGAGGGGGGCGTACCTGTAGAGATCCAAAGGTTAAATATTAAATGATAGCATTAAAGATTTACTAATTTAAAGAGGTCCATTCAAGAGCTTTGCTTCCCAAATGTAAATTTTAAACAGATCAAAAGTTCAATGATTTCCATTCCAGTTTAGAGTCATTCAGTGAAACAGGTTAGCTTCCGGGTCTAATACTGTGCATTGGTTAATATAGAAAGCTTATTTGGAGATTAATTAAATATCATACAGTGGACTGTGCAGTCTAGACAGGTGGTTTTTAATGTGTGTGTGTGTGTGTGTGTGTGTGTCCTTGTGTAAAAGTGAAGCAGGCTGTAATAACCCCAAGGGCAGTGAAAATGCAAGGCCTTGCGACCACCACACTGTTCTGCATTAAGGTCATCCACAATCACCTCCATGAGTCAGCAAATCACAGCAGTTATCATACAGATTCCAGCAAATAATCTCTAAAAATGGTGATTATGTTGAGCACACTAAAGACTATCTCAGTCATTAAACAAAATCTCACATGCAGTCTTTAGTACAAGCTTTGCATAGCTCACAATGCTGATGTATTTTGTGAAAGGCCTCAACAAACGTATTTGCATACCAAATTTTGAGAAAGTGCTATATTTTGATATCCTACAATGTATCCAAAGCATAACTGAGTATAAAAAAATGTGCAAAATTGTTCACATATTCTGTTTTTGTAAATATTGATAAAATTCTTAAGTAAACACATGTAAAATATGTATTACTAGGCATTTTAAATGTCCACAGATATTTTAAAAACGATTATTCAGCCAAAATGAAAATTTATTCACCATTAACTTATGGTAAATAAGTGATTAATAATTTTTATGAGTTTCTAGAAAACAAAGGAGGATATTTTAAGGTATGTTGGAAACCAGTAGATCCATAGTGGGAAAAAATACTATGGAAGTCAATGGCTAGATTCTTTAAGATATCTCTCTCTGTGTTCAACAGCAAAACAGGTTTGAAACAAGTGGAGGGCGAGAACGCTAAGCTACCTTTTAAAGTGTGACTAAAATGAGTTAAAACATTTAAACATTAACATTCAAACATTTGCTTATTTTTGCTGAAATACTTCTCAATGCTGTTTGTTTGCAGACTTTTTACTAGGTGTGTAAATAAGTTAAAATAATTAGGCATGATTCATTTTACGACTCCAAATGGTTCAAGAACTCTGTGTTCTTCAATAAAAGCATTTGCTCAGGACAAATTATAATCAAATGTCAGATTATGAGTCAAAGTCGAGAAGTCCTACTTTGCTGTCTGCAACACATTACATTTACAACAGTGACTTTTGTATAAACATAGAAAGCACAACAAATGGATAATGAAAATAATATTATCACGATGTGGCTGAAATAATGTTTCACCATCAATAAGTATAACAGCAATATACTCATTGTATTTATTAACTTGAACATACGCTACCTGACAAAAGTCTTGTTGTCGATGCCAGTTGTAAGAGCAACTTCTAGTTGATCATCAAGTGGCAGAAGGAAGATTTTTAAGATGAATTATCTGTTGAACTGCATTCGAGTTATTACAAAAACTGCAAAAGGCCAATTGGAACCTGCAAAAAAATAAAAATAAATCATGGTTTGGGGTAACATTCAGTATTGGGGGCATGTGAGAGATCTGCAGAGTGGATAGTACCATCAACAGCCTGAGGTATAAAGACATTTGTGCTGCCCATTACATTACAAACCACATGAGAGGGCAAATTCTTCAGCAAGATAGCGCTCCTTCTCATACTTCAGCCTCCACACCAAAGTTCCTGAAAGCAAAGAAGGTCAAGGGGCTCCAGGATTGGCCAACCCAGTCACCGGACATGAACATTATTGAGCATGTCTGGGGTAAGATAAAAAAGGAGGCATTAAAGATGAATCCAAAGACTCTTGATGAGCTCCTGCAAGAGTCCTAAAAGAACCCTTTCTTTGCCATTCAAGATGACTTTATTAATACGTTATTTGAGTCATTGCAGAGATGTATGGATGCAGTCCTCCAAGCTCAATGGAGTCGAACACAATATTAATTCTTTTCTAAAAAATGACCAATTTAAAGATAAAGGAGGAGGCATTGAAGATGAATCCAAAGACTCTTGATGAGCAATATATTAATAAGTTATTTGAGTCTTGCAGGGATGTATGGATGCAGTCCTCCAAGCTCAATGGAGTCATACACTATTTTACTTCTTTTTCCACTGAATCACGACTTTATATTCTATACTGTACATTATTTATGTTTATTGACAAGACTTTTGTCTAAGCAAAGTCAGACCTTACTGTTCTAATTAAATAATTAAAAATCAAAGTATGATCATATTTTATTTTGGTAAAATAAGTGTAATCTAGAGGCCTTTGCCTTTCATATGAGCCGTTTCTGATACTAATTGATCAAGTCAAGTTATTATTTGTTGTTCCTAAAACTTAGATAGGCAACAAGACTTTTGTTAGGTTGTGAATTAAAATACATAAAGGACAGTGATCATAGTACATTTTTATTTATTTGATAATCGTAATCGTTTTTCATTTGAAATACACTGGCAAGCTATAAAGATTTAAAATGACATTTCATTAAAATGTTTGTGTATTTATAAAGTCTTATTTATTTTTATATCTAAATATTTTACATTGGATGTCCTTTTAGAGGGTGTTTTCAGTAAATCATGCTAAAAATACACAACAGGCAATATTTTTGTTCAGAAACATTTTACTGTATTAGTTAATATGTTAAAACCTAATTATTACATGTTGATTTGATGCTTGAAGTTTTCAAATGTTCGTTTGCGGATGCCCTCTTGTGGACATCGTCTCCTTTTTGTAAAGTACCGCAGATGTGGATTTTTTTAATACCATAACTGGCCTACACATAATATATTTAATAAAACAACAGTATATTAAGACAGAAGCCAACATATTAGCTTTCCAACGATGCATTCATGTAAAGCTACAGTTTAATTGACCTGTTTTCATATACAGTTACAGCACGTCATGATGAATCTTTTTCAAATTACGATTCTGATATCAGGTAAAATGCGTAGTTATGCTCAGTTTCACTACACATGTTTGTTTGGAATCTAGACGATTTTAGAATTGAGATTTGAACTGTAATATGCCAGGTTAATTAAGGGGACGTCAAACACATTTCATATACATATGTCATCGTCATACACAGTGCATTTTTACAGGTTTGGTCGGTGTTGTAAAAGATGATGTTGAAGCTCGGGGCTGTGGGGTTTGATTCTGGTTGTAAGATGATCCCTCCTCCTCCAGAGCTGACGGTGTAAGCGAGAGCTCGAGACAGGAAGGACTGCTGAGCACTGAATGCTAACAAGGGGGAGAGAGAGTACATGTCCACGGCGAGCGGAAAGGTGGGGGGTTCAACAGCGAGATATGGAGAAATACAATTAACCTGCAATGTGCCAACGCCAAACTCACGCCGATCATAACCATCCTCACCACCGATCATCATCATCATCATCATCCTCACCCTCATCACCACCACCAGCAGCAACGGCGCGACCGACCTCGTCTTTTTTCTCCTAAGAAGTGAAATGTATCGGGACTGCATGGGATCTTTCTTCTGACAATGGAGATTGAGAATATCGTGGCCAACACCGTGCTGCTGAAGGCGAGGGAAGGTAAGAGATGGCGCACTCGCTTATCCTTAATCGAGCCCGGGTTATTAACTTTATCGCGTCTTATTGGCTCTATCCACATTCGCCACATCTGTATACAGTCTTGAAGGCGCTTTCGGGAGTCCTCCCTCTTGAATAGCATCTCATTTAGTATGCTAGTACGCACTTCCCAGGCTCTGTCTCCTCTGTCGGATGCCTAATGGAGGTTACTGTGTGTTTTTGTCCCCTGGATTCGTAACGCAGGGACCGCAGTGAACACCCATCCCCGTCTCTTCACCTGGGAGGGAGGTTGAACTGCAGTTGTAGGCCGCAAGGTTGCCCCTCTATCTGCGCACAAAGGAGTGCACTATGATACGAGTGAGGTCGGCTTGCTCCTTGCCTGGACCACAATCTTATCTCTAATAATTTGGCTATTATTGGACGACCTGTTCCTGGTTGGTGAAGCGCGGTATCGAGTGGTCAAATGTGTTGTTTTTGTGTGTGTAATCACCGCCGAACTGAATATTTTACGGTTGCCCATGGCAACGTACCCTCGCTACTTTTATGTTTCGCGAATCGCTCCGCGTACTTTCGCGTCGACGCAAGTTTGTCGTTGAAATGTTCTTGACTAACGGCAAACATTTATTTTAGTTTAATACATTTGATATTAAGTTTTGTATCCACAAATATGTCACAACTTGAGTTTCTAATAAAAAGGACTAACTGTTAACTTGTCTCTGGTGACTTAACCAGACCTATCCAATCTACACTTAACAGATGCTTTTATTTGTTCAACTGTTTCTGTGTTCATCCAAGATTTTAACTAAAATTAAGCATTACAAATGGAAAATCATGGTCTGGCTACAACAGAAGAGATCAGGGATGGAAATACAACATTTCATAACCTAATTTCAAAGAAAATATACATAGAAATATGTTTTAGTAACTAACTCACAATTGTGGTCTATCAATCGCAGATGGCATTTTACAAAATGTAGAACAACTTTGAATTAACTTCACTTTAAACAAATTTTGATCCTGTCATACAAAAGTCACATATGGGTGCGTCAAACGTGACACAACAATATGCTAGATTTACTGGCTTACCTTAATTAATATACCTGACTATGACTTTTTAACATGTTAACCACAAAGATGTTTGTTTTTGTGTGTGTATAATCATTGCAGAACTTAATATTTGTACTAGAACATACTCTCGCTACTTTTATGTTTCACGAATCGATCTGCATACTCAAAGTCCTTTTATAGCAAGTTATCTATATACTTATTATACTTATTAGTTTATTATATACTTATACTTATTTATATACTCAGCCGCCATCTTTGAAATGCCTCTCAGGCAGTATGCCTGGGCATTTTGTTTGAATGGGCAAAACATCAAATTCTCCAAAACTACTTGCCAAGCTAACAGAGCTTACAGAATTTCATAGAAATAACCAATAAAATTAAAACTCAACTGTCCCTTTAGTTTTTATTTCTAAATGTCCAAATCACACAAAATCTGACGAAACTCACGTCTGTTCCGAGCCCCTCCCCCGGAGTATCATTAGTCTATAGTGTTCGATGATTGGCTCCTGTACTAGAAGGCGGGCTTTATTCACCATATTGACGGTTACACTTTTCCCCATTCAAAAAGATACGCTTAACATGTCTTGTGCTGTTTATCTCTTTGGCGTACTCAAACTTTCGCGTTGCTTCAATTTTGGTGTCAAAATGTTCTTGGATAAACCCTAACTTTAAAACAATTTTTAGTTTAAAACATATTAAGTTTTGTACCCAAAATATGTCATAGCTCAAGTTTTGGATTAAAATGACAAACTTGACTCTAGTGACTTAACCAGGACTTATCAAATCATTTACATTTAACAGATGCGTTCAACGTTCTTTAACTAAAAGTAATCATTACATACAAATAAAAAACAACATTAAGGCTACATTAGGTGAGAGCAGTTACGATATTTCATAAAAACCTAATTTCAAAGAAAATGTTTTATACAGAAGTATGTTTTTGCAGTAACAACTAACTCATAAGTTCGGTCTATCCATATCAGGTGGTATTTTGTACAAAATGTAGAACAACTTCAATTCAACTTCACTTTAAACAAATTTTAATCCCATCAGTAGGACCAAAAGTAACATATGGGTGGGTCAAAAGTAGCACAACAATATATGCTAGATTTACTGGCTTACTTTTGATTATAGTAAATATACCTGACTATGACTTGTTAACATGTTATCTGCAAACATGTTTTGTAATTCATCTTCACAAAACAATTAAATAACTTATCATTTTAAATTTCAGTTCCCTCAAATGTTTCAAAAGTAACCCAACATGACAAAAATTAATAATGTTTAATTTATTTAATTTATTATTGGCTATTTTCAGTAATTTTATAAAACATCTAAATGGAAACTCAAATGTGGAAGTGAAAGGTACTGTATGGGAATTAATAGTCCTACAAAATTAACTTACTCAGGAACTGCGGTGTATACCTGACTTTCAGACAATGCAAACTTAAGGGCATTATATAGCAATAACCTGTAGATTGATCATTACTCTGACACATGAAAAGAGAAAAACATGTAATAAGGACAAATGCAGCCCCATTGATTTACTTTTTGCACTTAAAAGGTGCTATCCTCACCTAACCACAGGAGACAGTGATGAAATCACGTGATATTGGACAGCTCTGTCAAGGGTTGCATGCAGAATGTGCTGTCATAACTTGGAAATCAAATGATGTCAGGGCTTTGAGAAAATGTCTTTGTTACTTTCGCCCCGGGTAACTTTCGTCGCGCTCCCCTAACAATGCTTTAAGTATAGTATTTTATGGTTAATCAGATAGTAATCAATGAGCCAACAAATGTCTCTTTGAGGTTATCACTAGGGATGAACAAATTTAATAGACCATTGATTAATTTTTGATAATCTTTTCAATTATTACACCTTAATAGTTGGTTAGCAAAAATGTGGAGAGGCAGAACAGGGCATCAATTTGCCATCCATGATTGTTTGTTGCATTGTGGAGAGCATTTTATCAGATTGTTATTTATCTAAAATAGATTATCATATGATTTAACCTAACTAGTACATTTCTCTAATGAACATGACATTTTATCCATGTGAGGTACGTAAAGACCAATGAAATGGGCTAATAATTGGCGTAAGCATTTTCACGTCAAGACCATTCATGAGTAAACATTGACTTTTTCACTTTCGCCATGTTTGCTTGATAATTGCACAATATCTTATGAACATTTGGGAAGAAAATAACACACTTGCGAATGTACGCACACATGCACCAATTGCCAGTGTGTGTGTGTGTCTGGGACGGCAATGTATTTCGAGCGTCCGATTACAAGATTTAGACTAACATCATGCGTAAATTAAGATCTGTTGTAATCTTAAGTTGACAATACTTACACACATTTTGATTAAGTTATGGTTTGTTTTTTTCAGAACGAATGTTTCTAATAAGTTACTACATAAGTAAGGTTTGGTGTGTGAGCATGTGCAGTCTGTGTTGCATAACAAACGTCTAAGAATCATTGAGCTGTGTTCATCACAGACCTTCTTTTTCTCATGAATTGAAAACCGCCATTGTAGAAACACATAGGGAAATCTTGTGGGTACCAAATGCAAATTAGCCTGATTAGGATTTCGATGTTAGGACTGCAGTTCTCAGATGTAATGTCCATTCATGTATTAACAGGCCAAAAAAAAGTAGCATTTGGTTCTACGTCTTTTTAGAGATTTGAACAAGGTCAAACAATTAAAAGAAAAATATGAATGACTATTTCACAGTAGAATCTATAATGTGTTTACAATGCACATACAATACAAGACAATACAATACTATACAACACAATACAGTGTGAATTTTCCTTTCATGCTGCTCTTAATACAATCTACCCAATAATGCTCAGGAAAATGTCTACTTTTAAAGCAATAGTTTTCAACTGTGGAGCCAGAGGCCTGTGCAAACCTCCAAGGGGATTGCAAGATAAAAAATCTGACTTAATCATTCAAATTAACATGTAAACTGATTTCTGATTTATTTAAATATGTCCCCAGAATGTGTTTTTTTGCTGAATGCACAGTTCACAAGAGAGTTCACAGACACTTAAAGGCTGATTGGCTGTGCATTCACACTGAAAGTGGCCAGAGCGTCAAAGTAATGGGATCTCATTCATTTTTAATGGATGCAAGTGGCGAGGATCGGCGCAGTGCGTCTTCGCCAATGTGGGCGTTGAGGAGAGTTGAAATCAAGTCAACTTTATGGTAATGAGCTATGACATGGTTTAGCGGCAAGCAATCGGAGTGTTGAAGTCCACTGCTTAAGAGGAGCCAGAGAACACAGTTCTGTACACTTTGGTTCCGACCTCCGTTGTTCCCAAGGGTTTGATTGTTGCGGTCACCGGATGTATAATTATTTACGATGTTTTCTTACAGGGACGTACATTTTAAAAAAGTTACTGGCGAGTAGGGTTGTAACAATATACCGGTATGACGGTCTACCACGATTTGAACGTGCACGATTATCATACCATGAACAATTGCATATCAACGGTTTTAACCCTTAAAGACCGAGACAGCCGCCCGCGGCTAAAAATAAGTATTGCTCTTAAATGTTGAATAACTTTTGATCCGCTGATCCGATTCATACAATTCAAAGATTGGCATAAAGAAGAGAATCTCAGCTTTCCAGTGCTGTATCACATAACATTCGCGGCTCTGGAGGCTCCGGAATCAGTGCGGTTACGTCATCAAAATTTGACAACGCTGATTTGACAAAGAAACGCTCGTCACTGTGTCTCCGGACAAACCAGACACGATACATTGATGCATTGTCCCTCCTCCATGCCCAGATTGGTTCAAACTCGCTATATCACAACCAATAATCATAGGTTTCGCTTTTGTTTGTGGACCAAAAACAAGCTTTTTGAACAACACAGAATGAGAGATACATTTATGCGCGGCTAAATAAAACGCAAAAAAAAAG